AGGATATGTATGTATGTATGCATGGATGGATAGAATGGTGGATGGATGAATGGGTAAATAGATAGATAAATAGATGGACTGAAGCTAGACGATGGATGGGAACATGAGATGGGGAGGACGGGTTCAGGGTGGATGGATAGGTAGATGGATGGATAAAGAGTAGGATGGGTGGATAGATGGATAAGAACCACTGGATGGATGAACAGAGAGGAGGAAACGATGGTGTTTTGGATCAACATCATACAGGATGGAAGGATGAAGGGATAGGTGAAAGGATAGAATAGTTGGGTGGATAGATCAACGGATTGAAGGATGAATGTGAGAATGGAATGGCGGGTTGTTAGACATTTCTAGAAATAGATTGAATGGTGGTGGCTTCATTGGAGAATAGCATGGTGGGTGAATGAATGGATAGGTGGGTGGATAAAAATACTGAACGGAGAATGAAGGATAGACGGATAGCTGGGAAGTGGATAAGGATTGAGGGATATTGAGAGAGAGAGAGAGAGAGAGAGAGAGAGAGAGAGAGAGAGAGAGAGAGAAGAGAGACGAGAGAAGAGAGAGAGAGAGAGGAGAGAGAGAGAGAGAGAGAGAGAGAGAGAGAGAGAGAGAGAGAGAGAGAGAGAGAGAGAGAGAGAGAGAGAGAGAGAGAGAGAGAGAGAGAGAGAGGCATACAGAAAGACAGAGACAGAGAGAAAAAAGAGACAGAGACAGTAGATAAAGTGCTAAACAGATTTATTTCTAGAAACATAGGATAGTGGGTGGACGGATGGATAGAAGGAAAGTTAGATTTATAGGGGAAAGGGTAGTCAAATATCTCTTTTATGTAGTGAATAATAATGTTAATTTGAATATATGATAACATATGGATGGTCGTAGACTGCAATTAGACCATAAAGTAGGCATAAAGTAGCTGTAAAAAGGGAGAAAGAGAGAGGTAGGGAGGGTGAGAGAGGGAAGAGGGATATAGAGGGAAAGAGAAAGAAGTGGAAAGAAAAATGGGATAGAGAGAGAGAAAGAGAGAGGGGGGGATAGAGTGGGAAGAGAGGGTTTGAAATATTGAAATATTGCTTGATAGGTAGATAAATAGATGAAGACAGACATATAGTGGGACTGCAAATATGAATATATACATGCATACATACGTGTGTGTGTATGTATGAACAACACACACACACACACACACCACACACACACACACACACACACACACACACACACACACACACACACACACACACACACACACACACACACACACATATTATATATATATAATATATATATATATATATATATATATATATATATATATATATATATTATATATATATATATATATACATACACATGGATGTATGTGTATGATAGATAGATAGATAGATGAAAGAGAGAGAGGCATACAGACAGGCAGAGACATGGAGAAGGAAAGAGACAGATACAGAACAGACATAGAGAGGGAAAGAGACAGAGACAGGGAGAGAAAGAGAAGGAGCGTGACAGAGGTACAGAGAGAGAGAGAGAGAGAGAGAGAGAGAGAGAGAGAGAGAGAGAGAGAGAGAGAGAGAGAGAGAGAGAGAGAGAGAGAGAGAAAGAGAGAGAGACGAGAGAGAGAGAGAGAGACAGACATAGAGAGAGAAAGCGAGAAGCGAGAGAGAAAGAGAAAAGAGAGAGAGAGAGAAGAGAGAGAGAGAGAGAGAGAGACAGAGACAAGAGAGAGAGACAGATAACAGACGACGAGAGAGACAGAGAGAGCACAGAGACAGACATAGAGAGAGCCAAGCGAGAGAGCAGCGAGAGAGAGAGAGAGAGAGAGAGAGAGAGAGCTAGCGATCGAGCTTCAGCTTTCGCCTTCCACCGCAGCCAAGACGGCATCAGCCCTCCTCGTGTGGCTTGACTCGTAACTCCTGCATTTAAACATTTATGCATATATGTATACAAATATATTATGTGTGATATGTGTGTGTGTGTGTGTGTGTGTGTATATGACTGTGTATGTGTATATGACTGTGTGTGTGTATATGACTGTGTGTGTGTGAGATTGTGTGCTTGCATGTAATTGTGGGCGTGTGTGGGAGTGATTGTGTGTGTGTGTGCGAGTGTGTGTGGTGTGTGTGTGTGATTGTGGTGTGTGTGTGTGTGTGGGAGTGATGATTGTGTGTGTTGTGTGTTGTGTGTGTGTGTGTGGGAGGGATTGTGTGTGTGTGTGTGTGTGATTGCGTGTGTGTGTGTGTGGGAGTGATTGTGTGTGTGTGAGAGTGTGTTGCGATGTGTAATGTGTGCGTGCGTGTGATTGTGTGAGTGTGTGCGTGTGTGTGTGTGTGTGTGAATGTGTTTGTGTGTGTGTAAAAGAAAGAAAGGAAAGGAGAGACAGAAAGAAACAGTGAAACGGGGAACAGAGACAGAAACAAAATAAATAGAAAAGAAGTAAACCCGTATATACGTACGCGAGTAATGTCTATAACGCTCTCGTGTTTAGCCCCCCCCCCCCCTAAAATGAAATTTAAAAAAAACCGCCTCTCCCACCCGCACCCAGAATGACCCCCAAAAAAAAAAAGAGAAGAAATTACCTGCCCCCCCCCCACCCCCTGCCCCCCCCCAAAAAAAAAAAAAATAACGCCACCCGACAGAAATTACCCCCCCGCCACGAAAAAATAAAGGCCACCCCCAGAAATGACCCCCCCATAAAAAAAATAATAATATATACGCCACCCTCAGAAATGACCCCCCCCCAAAAAAAAGATAACGCACCCCAGAAACAAAAAAAAAAAAAATAATAACCCACCCCCAGAAATTACCCCCCCGCCAAAAAAAAATAAAGGCCACCCCAGAAAATACCCCCCCCAAAAAAAAAGGAACCCCCCCGCCCCCCCCAAAAAAAAAAAAAAATAACGCCACCCCCCAGAAATGACCCCCCTCCAAAAAAAAAAACACCCCAGAAATGCCCCCCCCCCCCAAAAAAAAAATAATAACGCCACCCCAGAAATGACCCCTCCAAAAAAAAACCCCAAAATTACCCCCCCCCCCCAAAAAAAAAAAAAATCCCCAGAAATTAACCCCCCTAAAAAAAAAAAAAAAAAAAAAAAAAAAAAAACACTTGCCAGAAAGCCCATCCCGGGACGCAGCTCGCCTCGCTCCCAACACCTGGACGAGCGAAGAAGCCAAAGGAGTATATGTGTCTCTCTCTCTCTCTCTCGTTCGAATGGCACGGCAGCTGAGGCGAGATTTATTTGGCCTCGCTTTCCGGGGGGGTCAGGCTGAGCAGAATGGAGGAGAGTGGGGGGGGGGGCGGGGGCGGGGGGGGGGAGGGAGAGGGGGAGGGAGGATGGGGTGTGGGTATAGAGGGAGAGGGAAGGGGAGAAAGGGGAGTGGCGAGAAAGAGGAAAGACAATAAACACATACATACACATACATGCATACACGCCCACACACAATACATTCATACATAATACACATACATACATACGCATACATACACATGCATAATACATACACACACACACATTACATAATAAATACACATACAGCACACACAACACACACACACACTCACACAGCACACACACATACGAACATAAAGATAGGTAGATAGAAATATTGGAAATGGGAGAGCAGATATATAGACATAGAGATAGATAGATAGAGAGATAGAGAGATAAAGTGATGGATAGATAGATATAGAAAGATATTAGTATTAAGTGACTGAAACAAAACAGTGAATATATTCGGTGGAAATAAAAACAGTAAGAAAAAGAGAGATAGAGAAGAAAAAAAGGAAAAGAAAAGATGTAGAAAGAAGAGAAAGGGAAGGGAAGAACACCCACCACAAATGTCAGCCGCGATAAGAAAGAAAAAAAAAAAAAAGAAAAGAAAAGAAAAAACAGAAAAAAAGAAAAGAAAAGAAAAAAAGAAAATGAAAAGAAAAAAGAAAAGAAAGAAAAGAAAAAAGAAAAGAAAAAGAAAAAACAGAAAAAAAAAAAAGAAAAAAAGAAGAAAAAAAGAAAAAAAGAAAAAAAAGAAAAAAGAAAAAAAAGAAAGAAAAAAAAGAAAAAAAAAGACAACATAAACACGTTCGCGGGCAACTCTACCAATTTCCCAGCCTCCAAGTTTCATGAGGTGAGAGTAAACAAGCATCTGGGGAAAACTCATTAAACCAATGAGGAAGAAAAATAAGAATGGAGGAGGAAGAGGAGGAGGAATGATTTTCTTTTCTCTCTCTCTCTTCTGCTCATTTCTATCGCTCATCTCTTTTCTTTCTTTCTCTCTTTCTCTTCTTTCTTTTCTCTTTCTCTCTCTCTCTCTCTCTCTCTCTCTCTCTCTCTCTCTCTCTCTCTCTCTCTCTCTCTCTCTCTCTCTCTCTCTCTCTCTCGTCTTTCTCTCTCTCTCTCTCTCTTGTCTCATCTCTCTCTCTCCTCTTTCTCTTCTGTGTGTGTGTGTGTGTGTGTGTGTGTGTGTGTGTGTGTACGCGCGCTGATATGTGTGTGTTTTGTGTGTGAGAGAGAGAGTGTGTGTGTGTTTGTTTTTATGTTTTATTTTTCGCAAATTTATGAAGGAGGAGACGGATAAATAGAAAGATAGATATAGAGAGGACAAAGAGAGAGCATGTGTATTTGTGCGTATGTGTGTGTACAAACATGCATGTGTGAGTTCTTGTTTGCGTGTACTTGTCACCCGTGCCACTTAATCAATAGAGTGCAACTGGATTTTGCGGCACTTTCACGAACACTCACTCGCCTAAGAACACGCTGCCGCAGTAAACCTCCTGTCTGCCATGCTGTTCTTTCTCTCTTCCTTTTTTCTTTCTTTCTTCTCTTTCTGTGCTTCTCTCTTCTCTCTCTCACTCTCTCTCTCTCTCTCTCTCTCTCTCTCTCTCTCTCTCTCTCTCTCTCTCTCTCTCTCTCTCTCGTCTCTCTCTCTCTCTACTCTCTGTCTCTCTTCTACTCTCTCGCTTCACATCAATTGTTTTGTGACACCTTGTATTATATATAAAACACACGCGT